CAAGGTGAGTCGGGCCGGGTTCAGTAGGAAATTTCCTCAACCACGCTTTCACATTAATTACAAGAATTGCTTCTTGATTTTTTCCAACTATCTTCGTGATGGCGAAATAGAACATTATGGCACCAAGCATGTAGGTTATAAGTTATAACGGTATTGCAAGCCTAAGCCGGATCGATTTGCCTATATATATATATTGATAATCGTGGGTGTTCGGGCCAACTTGCGTGCACCTTAACTAATCTCACGAGATCCTGAAGTTTATGACCGGGTATTCACCTCAGCGGCCCTGAGGGGACTCGAACTGGTGACCATTGTGGAGCAAACCTAATGTCTGACGAATTGAACAATTCCTCAAGGTTGATCGACTTGCCTACTTGGCTTCTCTACTCTTTCAAACCCCTCAATCGAGTCTGCGAAATTTTCTTTCTTTTTTTTCGTACCAAGAAAATTGGAAAAAGAAAATGTCTCGAGGAGGGCTTCGTCCTCATTTTCCGATTTGCTGTCTATCAACTAGTAGCTAATAAATTGGAGCAAGGACCAAATATATATAAAATGTTATGTAGTACGGAATTAGAGTATCCATAAGGGTGCGTTTGATTATCAATATTTTCCATGAAAAATGTGCCATTTTCACTTAATTTCTTATTTTTGTATTGTTTGATTGACAATTTTTTTCCGCGGAATATATTTTTCTACTTTTGTTCACGTGATCGTATTTTCCGTTTTAGAGAGTCAACGTCTAAAAACAAGTTTCAAGATCCTACTTTCGAAATCTTTCAAATCATATTTGGATTGCTTGACCACTGACATATACAAAAATATGTTAAATAGAAGATGATGAGAAATCAATAAATATTTTTTGAAAAGGGCAAAATAAAAAACAAAAATAAATAGCATTTGTTGGAGTAGAAAAGTAAAAATTCATTGATAATTATAATTGACAAATTCTTAAAATTCTAAAGTCACAATTTGCATGTGCATGGCCTCAAAAGTGATTTGACACCACGATTGCTTAAACGCTTGATAATCAATTTTGAACAAGAAATCATGTCTATAAATTTGAATGATGCGTTTGGTATGTTATTATTGTTTAAATTATTATCTTGTGAATTATGATATAGTTCATAAACAGTTAAAATTATAAACAGATAAAAATAAAAGGTGTATGGATAGAACTTGTAGATAACACGAAATGTATGGATAAAAAATAATTTATAAACATTCGCCAAACAAGGGTATCGTCATCTAATTATTACCAAATTTCATTAGCCTTACCTCCTATACATGGCGACATAGGCCCGAAAAAAGAAGATTAGTACTGGGGTTTAGGGTGTTGGAAAGATGTTGGTGGTGTAGGGTTATTGGTGCGTAAGTTGTTGATATCTCTCTTGTGAAGTGTCGGACTTGTTTTTGCGTAACTACTCAATTTCCTCATAAGGATCTATATATTTGCTCAACGTGAGAGTGACACACTTACGTAATGCACCCCTTATTACCATTATGATACATATCCACATTTGTAGATCCAGGAAGAGAGGTGAGCACAGATGGTGAGAGGTGAACATTGGCGGCCGCCCAATACAAGGGAAAAAATTTCGACGGTTATAGCACGAGTAGCCATCGGTACTCACTGAGTGCTGGATCCGTTAGTGCATATTCAAAGGTGTTTTTAGTTTTAAGTTCCGGTTTGGTACATTTTAAAAAGCTATTAAAATTTTAAATTAAAATCAACAATTAATTTTAACTACATATTTTATCGAATTCACAAATTTTATCAACTTTTTAATCATATATTAATCATTTTTTTTTATCAAATTTAATAAAAAATTGATTTTGGCAAAATCAAACTGGCCTAAATATGTGAATAGATTAGCCCCATGTGGCACATTTAAGTTGGTGGAACAATTGCATTTGTGGGCTCGCAACCCCAGCGTGGAGAGTTCGATTCCTGGAAGGCACGAGTCTTGGGATTTTCTCGAAGGCAAGGCAATGACTGGAAGACAGTGATGAGAGCTCTCTTGGGGCCAATGAGTATAAGCAGTGCAGGAACCTAAGAGTCAATAAGGACATAACCCGCAGTTTACCTCCTCGAATCGCTGAGGGGTCGGTGGCTAGAGGTCCAGGATTTAGTCTGACTAAGTTGGGATACCTGAGTATCAAAAAAAAA